GGTCTGAGGCACCTATAGCCCTTATGTTGGGGACTATATCCCAAGAAAATGCATTTGGAAGACCTAAACATGAACTTATGATTGTTGTAAGGTCTGAGAAAAGGAAAACAAGCACAACCAAAAGGTTTTAGGAAATGCAAATCAGGTGAGGAATGGAATATCATTTGAAAGGGAGATTTATGGGATAGGACTGAAGAGGGAAGTCTGTTTAGAGTATACACTGCAGCAACAAAGGCATCCCACCAAAATTTAAGGGGCATGTTGGCCTGAGCAAGAAGAGACAATCCCATTTCCACAATGTGTAGGTGTTTCCTTTCAGCCCTCCCATTTTGTTGATGTGTATGAGGACAAGGATGTCTAAACACAATACCAAGCTGTTGAAGTAAAGGAGCTAAGGTTCTGTACTCACCCCCCCAGTCAGATTGAAGACATTTGATGGAAGCATTAAACTGAGTATGAACATACTGGTGAAAGAATTTAAACACACCAGCAACTTCTGATTTGGACTTAAGTGGAAATATCCATGTAAAACGAGTAAAGTCATCAATAAAATGCACATAGAACTTGTAACCATCAGTAGAAAGCACATGAGAAGGTCCCCACACATCAGTATGAATAAGCTCAAAAGGTGCAGAAGTTTTAGTAGGCTGTGAAGCAAAGTGCTTCTGATGTAGTTTGCCCAACTTACATGCATCACAAAAAGGTAAAGTGGAGGGTACAGACAAATTTAAATTGTTCAACACTGTTTTGAGGACATTATGACATGGATGCCCAAGTCTTCTATGCCAAGTAAGAGCTTCAGTGTGCTTGCAAGGAGCAACAGTGCAACTGAAAGTACACTGAGAAGGAGAAGAAGAACCAGTAGAGTGTAGAAGAGCAGCATTGTGAGACAGGTCCAATTGATAGAGACCATCCTTAAGAAGACCTTCCAGCAAGACTTGATGTGTTGTCTTGTCCTTCACAAGACAAAAGTCAGAGTGAAACTCAATTACAATGTTGTTATCTTTGGTGAGCTGAGATATGCTAAGCAGATTCTTGGTTATATGAGGAACATATAAGATATTGTTGAGAAGAACTGGATAAGCAGGATCATTATGTAAAATGGAGGAACCAACATGAGAGATAGGAAGTTGAGATCCATTTCCAACTGTAACCATATGCTTACCCTGATAAGGTGCTGCATTAAGAGACAAGTTATTAAGATTGGCTGTGAGATGTGTGGTAGCACCACTGTCAAAGTACCATCCAGGATCAGAAGAAGTTGAGGGTGCATAACCAGCAGATGTACAAGAATCACTTAGGTGCACTTGAGGAGGAACAGATGGAGCACTCTCTGAGCCTGTGAAGCTGATATCAAAACGCTTGAAACATTTTAAAGCCACATGATTTGCCTTGCCACACAATTGACAAACAACACGATCAGTATTCTTAAAGAACCGACCACCACGGCCACGGTTTTGCCGACCTCGACCTCTGTAAGAACCCCTAGAAAATGAACCTCCCCGATTTGTAGCAAAGTTAGCAGAAGGAGACTGATCAACCATATTAGGGTTTGTTGCTGCTTGAAATGCAACTGGAGAGGAGACAGCATGACTAGCGAGACGCATTTCATGAGTTTGCAATGAAAACTGAACTTCAGACAATGAGATAGAATCCAAACGAGAGGAGAGATTAACAACAATAGCCTCATAATCAGAACCAAGACCACCGAGAATGTACATTGCGAGCTCATCATCAGTAACATGGTGACCAACAGAATGCAGATCATCAGCAATCATACGCATTTTAAGAATATACTCATCAATAGAAAGATCACCTTTCTTAAGCGTCTGGAGTTGAAACTTAAGATGAAGAATGCGAGCCTTGGACTGAGTATGAAAGAGCTGAGATAAGACTGTCCAAACCTGAGCAG